GGTCTACTCCACTTCCTTGTTGCCTGCTTAGACTCTTGGCACTCTTAGGTGAGCAGACTTAGTCAGCCTGTGTTGCCCTAACACATAGGCCGTTTCTCCTCCTTGTCTCTCTAGTGATCCTCATACTCATGATCATGGCTAGCTCCAATTGTATGCTGTAGCCTCACAATTAGTCTGGACATATGGTCCACAACAGATAACCTCATACTCCAGGACATGCTATTACTAAATTATGATAGGGAACAAATTGTAACTGATGTTTAATTGATCACCCTGTCCTACTCATAGCATGGTAATTGGATGACAGGAGTTGGCCACATGATCATGAACATGAACATAAAGGTCAGTTCCCTGTAAGGAAAGCATACATCCAAATGTAAGGCAACAATACAGCTATGGTTCACCTGAAGCATGCCAGCTTTGAGCACCTTGTTTCAAATGACTGTTCTTTGCCTCCCATTGGGCTGCTAATGCCTTGCATGCTCCCTCTAAAGAGTGCTTAGTGTGGACATAGTCACAAACACAAGAGGCAACAACATCTCCATTCACTACTCACAGCTCCACATTGTGCCAGTTGAGAGCCACAAGTTCATGATTGAGATCCATCTTGGATGCCTCGCTGAGCCGTTGCTGAAGATGATCCATCTTGCAGGCAATGGCATTGAGCAAATACTGCAGCATGACCACTTCAGTGCAAGTGATGTGGGTCACACCTGCGGTGTCCTGGGGCACCTCTTGACAAGCCTTTTCCAGCAAGTTCCAGGACTGGTCAGTGGTGGGCTCATACTGTGTGCAGGCATTGTGCACCCTCTTGATCTCAAACTCAAGGTGACACTTCTGAGCTGCAAGGGTGTCCATCTTGATGGGCTTGCTCATGGTTGGCTTGCACTGGCAATATATCTCCAGTTGTCCATTCTCCTTGTGAAGCATATGGATTTCTTTGAGCTTGGTGAAAATGTCATGCACAATAAAAACCTGGGTGATGATGTAATTGACTGTGCTATCAATGGTTGATGTGGCCAGGTTGGCTGGGTTGACAGAGATGACATTTGACATGATATTGAAAGAACAGCTGAGCATTGAAGTCAGTGCCTGTACACCAGCTGAGACTGCTGGCACTCATGTGCAGCACTAAGAGGGAAGGGGAATTAGCAGAGTTCGAGTTGTTGCCCCTTTGTACCTTATATCTGAGTGCACTGGCCCTCTTGAAGGCTGTGCATGGTTGGCTCTGTGCTCACATGGCCCTGGAACCCATCATTGCATCTCAATCAGGACTCCTTCCTCATGGACTTGAACATCATGGATGTGAACATGATCATGAGTACTGCATTTCTGCACTCTTTCTTGACAGGAACCAACACTGAATGCAGGTGGATCATAATGCATCTCTGCATAGATGTACCAGATCAACTGAGCTGTCACACCTGAATTGCTTCCACACATGAGCATTAGTATGTGGGGATGTTTGGCTTTATCCACCCACTTTTGATGGTCAGAAAAGCAGAAACATACCAAACACCATAAGTAGTCAGTGTCTTAGGAAGTTTGTATGCAGGTGCTCCTTGGGAAACACTGAGATCCGCATGATGGATACCACTCCCCTGCTCCAGATCATGGTGAAATGGACAATTGCCTCAAGCTAAAGGTATTCATGAGCATGTACATGACTATGGCAGTAACATAAATGATAATAATGGCAATAGTGGTGACAGCTCCAAGAATATCACATTAAGAAAATGAGTGATGGATGAGCTGGTCAACAGAAGAGACAGCTCCATTCACCACCCTTGATGAAGAAACTCTTAACATGAAAGTGAGCAATCAGCTGTTACTAAGGATCACATGGTGCAATACACACCAACGCTAGGTGATATGTGCTGTGGTGGTGAAAGTTTGCAAGCAGCAACATGTGATCAGGAGGGAGGAGGGGAGTTGTTCCATTTGCTGGTAATCTCTGCAGTGGTTGCCAACAGCAATAGAGGATTGTCAGTCATGTTCATGAACATGGCATTGAGCAGGTCCACAAGCACACAACAATGTCTCCACTTGCAGACACAATCTAAGGACTGCTTACTGGTCTCATTCACTTTGCTGTGTTTCTCCTTTGCATATTGTTGTTCATGCTGCAGGCAAGCCAGCCATGTTGTGTGGCAACATTCAGTGATGCACTGTGTATACTAAGCAAATTTACTGTGCCACCCACTCAGTATGGCTTTGCAAGATATCACTTATGAATGAAGGCACAAGTATGATGCACAAGGTGGGGTTATGAAGTAGGCCATGCTATAAGTGGTGCTGATTGATCCATCCCTATTTCATGTGACAGGATGCATGCCTGTAGCTTTGTGGATAGCATTATTCATGTAATATATATGTGCCAAGAGAGATGGAAGGGAAAGATGATTAGTGGAATCCAGCCTTGATGCTGTTCAGGTGACAATCATGAACACAATCATGTTCATGATATGGGCCACTGAAAAGATGACTTGGCAGGTAAGGCAGCTGATACCTGGCATCAAAGGTGTCCATGTACAAATTGTCCCAATGATACACTGGCACTGGACCAGGACCATAGGACCCTGGTGGCCATGGATGCCAGTATTGTCTGCCATCCAGCATTGGAGTACCTCTGCTATGCTCATGAGAAGAGCCATACCCATAGACTGGGCCTCTGAAGTATTGCCCATCAGGGGGTGGTCAATAGGGGTAGGAAAGTTGAGCTTCCTCTGCAGCATATGGAGGAGCATGAGGACTGATGCCTGGTGGTGTTAGGTGCTGGGATGACAGTGGACAGTCCACTTGGACATGAGCATTTGCAGTTCCACCATCATGATCATGAGCATGAGCATGTGGCTCACACTCCACAGCCTGCCCAGCCACTGGAGGGCCCTGGGAGCTGGGAGGGTGGGGTTGAGATGTGGAGCCAGTTGGGTCTGGCCCAAGCAGCCTTCCTGGTTGATGTTGGGTTGGGCGCACAGTACTGGAGACAGAGGCTGCTGGTCTATCCTCACAGGCATGCTCATGTGCAGAACCTGCAGATGGACAGTCTGTTCCCCCAGCAGTTGGCAGCTGGGAACTGGCAACAGGTACTTTGACTGTTGTTGGTTCAGGGCCAAGATCACTTGGGCTTGCAGGAGGCAAGTTGCCAGGCAATCTGCCTTGGCGCTGTTAGGGCAACACAGGCTGCTCACCTAAGAGTGCCAAGAGTCTAAGCAGGCAACAAGGAAGTGGAGTAGACCTGATGACTAAGACCTATCTACAGTATAGGTACCTGTGGATGATCCTAAGAGACCAAGTCTGAAGAGACAGTCCCCAGGCAGAGTAGGCCTTATATTTATACCTCTGTGGTGGAACCTGCTAG